GCAGTCTATATGTTAAAAGAGGCCCTGAGTCATTTTATCGAATTTAATTGGCCTGAAACTGAGTTTATAGTACTCCTAGGAGTTTACGTGGAATTCGTCTTGGTTTATTTCATAATTATTTATATCCAATCTAGCAAAATTTCTACGGGGGCGGATACGTAATAGTCTCCAGAGTGGTAGATTTCCTACGTACAGTCAGACAGCCGTGATAACTAAAATTCGTAAAATTAGGTGTGGAGCTTATATTGCGTCGTAAATGCTTTGATTATTGTCGTTTAAGCAAGATATAATAAGACAGTTAGAATTTTGAAGATAGAAATTAGAATTATAAGTTTCTGTCAAAAAACCGCGATACAGTTTAATTTGCACTGGATTGTTCACATGATTGAGATCAGTGCCTTCATATATGGGCTCCCAGAAGGCTTAGCGGGACACATTTCGAGCGCGTCCTTTGGAAATTTTATAACGCTGGTTGATAAATATTATATGGCCAGTTTTCTTAAAATATTTACGAAAATATGAAGAAATACTCCAATTTTTGAAGGTCCACACAATAATCTTAAATGTAAGTGTTAAACTATGTCAATATTTTGAAGTTTCGTGTGTAAATATGTGCCATAAATAGTTGTATTCATGTATATTTTTAACCGCCGTGCCGTTGGTCGCATTTGTATTTTGTATTGGGTTCAACAATATATTGTTACGGAAATACTTTAAAACTTAGTGATATTGCTTTGTATTTACAGATTATAATTCCAAGCAATAAATATTGTCATAATATGTGCTCCAAAGCAAGTCGAACTGTCGAAATCATGATACCTGTAAATGTATTAAAACGACAACAAACTAGAATACTACAGGCTACAAGAAGGTATGAATATAGTTTAATGTATTGAGACGATATCAACATTGATTCATTTAGCTAATATTGATATAATCGCCAAAGCAAGTTCTATGGCTTTGTATGAGAGGAGAATAATTCCTCCTCTGTGTTTAATATTTATATTGTGCCTATCAATAGATTCCAGACAACCCTAAATATACATATTGCTGAATTCCCTGAATACATTCAGGATATATGATGCTTGTGATGTTACTCTGAGTGTATATCCACACCGGGCAAGCTTGAAAAATATGCCTGGCCACGGTGGGAATCAAACCTACGACCTTTGGAATACTAGCCCAATGCTCTGCCAACTGAGCTACGCGGTCAGGTCGGTTCGAGTACCGGTATGTGATATTTCGGAACGGAATCTAGTTCCTTCAATATCAATGTAATCTAGTGATCATGACTTTTTTCTGTGTTGGTGTAATGTACTCAGGTGAATATGATGCTTGTGATGTTTCTCTGAGTGTATATCCTGACCGCGTAGCTCAGTTGGCAGAGCATTGGGCTAGTATTCCAATTAAGGTCGTAGGTTCGCTTCCCACCGTGGCCAGGCATATTTTTCAAGCTTGCCCGGTGTGGATATACACTCAGAGCAACATCACAAGCATCATATTCACCTGAGTACATTACACCAACACAGAAAAAGTCATCCAGGATATATGTTTTTCATAATTTTTTCTGTGTTGGTACCTACATTGGGCTGGTATTCCAAAGGTTGTAGGTTCGATTCCCACCGTGGCCAGGCATATAAATTTTTCAAGCTTGCTCGGTGTGGATATACACTCAGAGTAACATCACAAACATCATGTTTCTCATAGTTATACCTCTGAGGAATTCCAAGCTCAAAAATTATATATGATCCCCTGATTGCCCTGAAGAAGTACTATGCAGACACTAATATGGCATAATGCCATAATTAGTAAATGTTTATGACTGATGAATCAAGTTCAGGGCCGTAGCTAGACGCGATAATTTGGGTGGTGTATATTCATATAAATAAATTCATGTTCACATACCGAAAAATCAATCGCTTTCAAAAGAAATCCATCTGGGCAGAGCACGAATATATGAATATCCCCCCCCCCCCCAATTATCGGTCTAGCTACGGCCCTGGTCAAGTTGTGTGTTTATATGGAACCGAGGTAGCTCAGATACCAGAGTTCATTGTACATAGTGTTGTACCAACAACCAAGCAGAATTTCATCCATGTTTACTTGAGACTTTTCAGGCAGGTCAGCTCAAAGCACCTGTCTTTATTGCTATATAAGAGCTGTTTACATTGCCCTCTGAAAATGTACCACCGTACGGAACAGATAAAATGACATTCTTACTGAGTGAATTTACGTGTGCTTGGACAAAGGTTTGAAATGACTATATACCGGATATCATATCCAGGCTCAGGGCTGCCGAGAGAATTTGCATGGCCTTGGGCAAATCTTCTCTGGGGGCCCCATGACTAGACCTTAGCTAGACTGCATGTTGAGCTAATGTAAGCGGCCCTCAATTTCAAAAATGCTCTCATCAATTTAAAGGACCTACTCAATTTTAGGCTCTCAAGTTGGGGCCCTATTAAGGTTGGGGCCCAGGGCAATTTCCCCATCCCTCTATCGGCAGATAGTGAGATAATCTTACTATCCAGTATACTGGCAGATACTGGATTTGACCTTTAAACTTTGTGGACAAGGCTTTGGCAATACTCATGTTTAGAATGAAGTTATTTCCTATAATTCAAGTATCTTTTCAAGTCAAAGTATTATAAACACCCTCATTTTATAATCAATTAAACTAATTATTTATCTTAAATGAAAGTCTAAACCTTTATATCAACAGTATCCAGTATTCAGCCAGATAATGCGGATATCTTTCTTTCAATTACTATCCGACATAGTTGAAATCTGGCTGGATGTCAAAAATGTCTATCTGGTGCAGCCCTAGAAATGACCAAATGCCAGGTGAACGTTAATTGTGACCAATTGTTTTATCTGGCAACCAGGTATTTCCTAAAGGTAGCCCTCATTGTGACTGAGAAAAAAGTTTAAAAAAGACAAGTGTATAACTTTAATAAAAATATTGACTTAGGCTAATGAGGTTTTGGGGTAATTAGTTAGGATTATCTACAAATTTTACTTGGACTGTAGACAAATTGGCACAGGAGGGCATGTTCTGAAAGGGAAAAGCTGGCATTGTATAACAGACCCTGAGACACATGTGCAGCAAGCTAGAACTGGTTGAATTTAAATGTGCTTCAGTTACTTCATATTGTGTGTCATTGCAACTTTAGAGTTGTGTGTTAATTATTTCCCTGCCGCTACCATGAGAATGAAATTATTATGCATTAGGGATGCACCTGATAGAACATTTTACTATCCAGCCGAATACCATATATGCCGAACGGATGGAAAATATCCTACCAGATTATCCGGCCAAATACTGGATATAGAGTGATTATAAAATATATGTAGGATAAATAAAATAAGATATACGGAGACCCGTCAAAGACTGCAGACTGGCAGTCGAAAGCTTGTAATAAATAAATCTTTTAACCAGAGAACGTTTACACAATTAAGATATAAACTGTGTATAAAGTGATGCTTTTTATAATATATTGATTTGAAATGATACAAAAGAACTTCACAGTGAATTAAACTTAAAGTGCCCAAATATACATGTACTATGTTTATTATTTACTGTGACTAAAAATGTTAATCCCAGAAAAGTTTACTCCTCTGGTTGATTGGTTTTAAACGGTCTCTCTGCCAATGTGCCTTGTTTAAATCATACTATGCCCTAAACCACTCGACTTGACCTAGAAAGTGTTACTTGTTGATAGTTTAGCCAGACTTTCCACCCAAATCTCAAATATTTACTCTGACATGTCACCAACAAAAAATTAGATTGGGTTTGTTCTATAAGTTGTTTGATACTTTCTCATAAACCCACAAAAGGTACAGTGCACTCTTTATAATAATCTCTAATGCAAAATAATTATCTTTCAAGGGAACCTGCTGGCCATTAATGTTTAACGAAGGACAGTTGCACACCAAAACCTTTGTAGATTTTGTGCGCTACAATATAGTGATGTGTTCTTCTTCGACTGTGTCAAAGTGCCATTCAGCAAAGATTCTATTGGTTTCAAATCGCCTGTACTGGTAATATGAACTTTAATTTGGATTGTGACTGATAATTACCTGATCTTTACAGCCTTCGGCACATCCTGAGATATTGAGTTCAAGGCTTTCACATAATCCAATCCCCACAATCAAAAACGAAATTACTTGGTTACGATGCATTTCAAAGTCCCTTCTTTGGAGTTACTAGTGCAGCCTGCTCACAGACGTAGTTCTTACGCCAAGCGTCGAAATATTACCGTCAGTGCAAAACTGATTTCCGCTACGTCGACCAATCAGAATTTACCTTCCAAATTCTGGAAAGTGACGTCAGTTTATTTAGGAGCGGAATAAATATAAACATATATTTTGAAAACAGTCGTCGGTTGAATTTTGGTCAAAATTGCACATAAATTGAATTTAATTAAAGATACTGATACTTGTCCAGGTAATAAAATACACCATTAATGATCAGATTTGGATATTAAAGATGTTCGGTTATATTAAAAACGCGGACAGGATTGGAATATTTATACTGTAGGAATCTTAGCCAGACAGCATCAAATTCCGAATAAATTTCGCTGTAATTTTAATGGTTTATCTTTATAAGACAACGGAAATCAGAAAGTTTATATAATACTGTGGCTTAGAATGCGAAATATTAGCTTCAAATTAAACTAATTTGCTGTTTGAGCAAGCACTTCTGAATGTAAACTGTAAACACAACACAAACCCGAGAAACTTGTATTAAAATTGCGCCGTGATAAATTTTCCAATTCGCCCAAACTTCGAAACGTTTATACTCTAACTGGGCTATACTTTTCTACATAACAATGAGAACTTAATCTTTTTGAAGTTTTCGTCGAAGTCATGGCATATAGGAAGTATCAAGAGCAACATTTGGACATATCCTGATATACTCGAGTTTCCCGATTGATTGTTTGTCATTGTTAACAAAAATTTAAACTCGCCTACAGCATTGCTTTAGCACTTTATATACACCGATTGTTTGCTGAACATGCGAGAAGATGATCACAATATGATATTGTGATCATCTTCTCGCATGTTCAGCAAACAATCGGTGTAAATATCGTAAATATCGTGAAGTTCAACGCGATAGTTTCCAAAATATATCCACGCAAAAAATTTCAAGTTTCAACCCAACTGAATATATTCCAATGCATGTGCAAGGGATTTCCCCAGTAACTAATCTCTCAGTAAGGCGGCTTCCAATTGGCTCTAACTTTTCTGAACACTGCCAGATGATCGGCTCCTAAAACAAAGGGAATTGAATATGCAGCTCGTGTAAGCAGACGGTAGTATTTCTTCGCTTGGCGTAAGAACTACAACGTCTGTGAGCAGGCTATTATACTAGTTTGGCGCCAGAAATATTACACAAGCATTTATACCGAAAATATAATAGCGATTATCTAACAGAGTTACGATAACGTAAGGAGAAGAGAGCTGAGGCGAGATTTCGGTTGGTCTTTAAAAGATACACAACTTGAATTGAGTGAAGCAAAGTGTAACATATATCTTTCGAGCATGAGGATCTCTCGGTTAACCATGAACAATTTCATTTATCGCGAAAACATTTTTTGACCATGACAAAAGACTGTTTTTGTGCTGCTTTCAAGAACCTGTCTGTCGAAGAGCCCTCGAATAAGATTCGGGTTGTCGAGACCACCTCCCATAAGTTCCTGCTTGTCAATAAGCCCTCTACTAATATAATGAAGTAAACAATATCAGTGTAAAGTGTGAAAATGTTCCACAATAAGGCTTCAGGAATACCGCCTTCAACATTCTAGCCAAAACGGATAAATCATTCGTAACGACAAAAACCCACAGAATTGTTTGCATGTTATTCTGCCCTAAATTGATTATTGATTTTTTGCAAATGTTAAACCAAATATACACCCTTCCGGAAATATACATCTTTCGGGATTGAGATATCGGCTTTAGATTCGCACCCCTCTACATTTCGTATGTGACACATTTGCAAAATCATACAGGCATACTATGGAGAACAAAACAATAGACCCTCCGACACTATGAAGAACAAAACAATATGAAGAGTGACACTATGAAGAACAGGCATACTATGAAGAACAAAAAAATAGACACTCGATCCGACACTCATCAGATAAATGCGCAACTAAACTCCCACAATCTGGATTCACCTTCACGGAGAGGAACTTCCCTTATACGCTCGTGTACAAACAAAATATCCCGACTATTGATAGCTCGTCCCAATTTCATCACGATCTATGATACGACTAGTACCAACGCCTATCTGAGCCTAAAAGACCGAACTGATAAAGAACTGCAAATTACTGTTGTATACAAATTTAGCTGTCCTGGCTGTCAATTGTCGTACTTCGGAAAAACTGACCGCTGCCTCAGAACAAGGATTAAAGAACACTCCTCCGACAAAAACTCAGAAGTTCACAAACATATTACGTCATGTGGACACTTTCAATACTTCCAGACCTTACTTAACCTACCTAACACACTACTAGATCAGTTTGATATACATACCACAGAAGCCATCATATACCAAAACTGTACTATTTTAGATAAATCTAGACATTGGTCATTATTGTTATATAAGGAGTCTTTACATATACATCATCAAAAACCGGAACTTAATCAGGCAACTAAAGCCTCTAAGCAAGGGTGGGTTGACTACAAAATTTTTGTAGTTCGCTATAACTACAGCTACTTAAAAAATATGTAGTCAGCTACAACTACTGCTACTTTCGAACAAAGGTAGTTCGCTACTGACTACAGCTATTGCTTAATAATGTAGCGAACTATTTCGCTATTTCGCTACTCTATATTTTCTAGTTTTACGGTATTCGGAGCATCCACTAGCTCAGGCTGTAATAAAACCTATAACAGATCGACTTACGAGTAGCAACCGTACTCAAGAAGGGTCATAGCAACATTTTTGTAAGCACTACAGTGTTCAGGAGTGCCACTTTTCATTGCGCTAAAATAATCTTTACTGTGGAAAATAATCTTTTAAGCAAACCGTGTCTTAATATCATTCTATTCTATGAACGATTGCTAACAATTTCAAAAAGTAGTGAATAGCGATTCGCTGTTTGAAAAGAAGTCAACTACTTGGCTACTTTTAGGCAAAATGTATTTCGCCATAACTACAACTACTGTTTTAAAAAAGTAGTCAAAAACTACTGGCTACTTGAAAATTGTAGTTCGCTACAGTAGCGAACTACAACTACTTCGCTACTACCCACCCTTGACTCTAAGCAACTTGTGATCTTTAATTAGCGCATAATTTGATCCGCTTAACTTGTAAATGTATATCTTGGTATTTTTCAATAGCGTCATTCCTGAAGATGACTGAAACCTAGTCGAAACTTTGAATAAAATGTTAACTATTTTCGGAGTGTCTATTGTTTTGTTCTTTTTAAAATTACTCAATGGCAACCGCAATTTCATACTATAAAGTATACCATAAAATGTAAAACACCTCTCTTCATCAGTAAAAATAACTATTTTCATCACTAACAAAATAATTATCTCTAAAGACGATATTCCAGTTCCGAAAACGAAAATTTGTTGCCGAGGCTAACGCCTGTATTCTAAAAGCTCACTCACACTCAATGAGTAGATGTTCAATCTTAGCTTCTCGTGAGTGTCAATGTTGATTTTGAGAGAATCTCAGATTGAACTTCCTGCACTCTTTGAGTGTGAGTGTGAGTGTGAGTGTTTTAATTAGTTTGAGTGAACTTCTAGAATGCGGACATAAGAACATTTTGATCAGGAAGGGTATGTGCTTTCTGTACTCAGCTTGTTCTCTACGATATCATAACATCGTGTGAGTGTTTCCGAAACATTTTATAATTATATTTTATAATTAATATATAATCTGCATGGGCTGTATAACTTTCCAAAGTCATTATTAATGCATGAGGAAAACAAAACGAAAATCATAAGTGTGTCGTATCTTGATATGTGACATGCATGAGATTTCCCTTAATTTAGCTTACATAAAGTGTAAGTGTGATTTTCTCGACTAACCCAGCGTATTTTTTGAAAATTTACTTTGCCAGTCAACTTACTGTAATCTTGGACAAAACCATTGAGAACATACCAGCTAATATTACAAAGTTATTGAACATTGACAAAACAAAATTTTTCCCCCCCCCCCCTTCCGCCCCCCCGTTCAATGTTGTAGCCTAAACAACGCCGACACAACTTTTGGTAATATACCTTGATACAAGCTCAATATTGAGTTGGGGAGCGGATGCTTAAGAAGGGCAACATGATTCAACATGGAATTTATCGTCAAAATATGTCAATTTTTTATAGGGGGAAAAATATATAGTATTAACCAGCATGTCCACGATTGTATGAAAGTGGGAATTTTACATTCATGCCAATTGTTTGAGAGTTATTGTTAGAAGGCAGATACGTTAGTGTTGCGACGGATGAAAAATTATTAATTAATTATATGTTACACTGCAAGTAGTTCAACTAACCGAATTTTTTATCCATATTACAAATCATTCCAGGCGATGCTAAATTTATATTTATACTCTAAGTAATGGAAAATTAATTGAAGAGGACACATCACGTCTGGATGAAAGTAAATTATATATTGGACATTCTGTAAACTTGATTTCTACTATAGCTTATTCCATATCGTCATTGAAACCTTTGTATTATGAATGTTAATACATAAATTACTGACCGAAAGTGTGGCCAGTGCCATAAGATATCCTACCGAGAACTTGCTGTATTGGCCAAGCGATAGCGAGCTGCAAAAAATCGTTTTCTTATTTCAAGAAAAAAAAAACTTGTTTCAAGAAATATTTTCTTAAAACAAGAATTTTTTTACTAGGGAGAATAGCGAGAAATATTTTCTAACTGAGAAAATATTTCTTAAAATATTTCTTAAAATAAGAAAACACATTTTCTTGTTTTAAGAAAAATATATCTCATTTCAAGAAAATAATGAAACATTTTTCTAGTGCACTTTTTCTTAAAATAAGAATTTTTTTAGAACTAGAAAATGTTTCTTAAATTAAGAAAACTTTTCTTAAATAATAAGAAATTAAATCTTAAATTAAGAAAATATAACTTGTTTTAAGAAAATATTTCTCAAAACAAGAAAATTTTTACTAGGGAGAATAGCGAGAAAAAAATTCTAATTAAGAAAATATTTCTAGATGAATCATTTTCTTGTTTTAAGAAAATATATCTTATTTTAAGATTAACTTTCTTAAAACTAGATACGTTTGACTAGATAAAAAAATAAGTTAAATTTACACCTAACATTCTCAGTTTACGAAAAAAACTCTCATTATTTCTAAGAAAATAACTTGTATATTTACTGAAATTATAGTAGTTCTAATAGCACAGCAATGTGTTGTAATGAATTGAGTTTCTCCCGGGGTTTTTCCAGGATTTTCTCTTGGGTCCGTTTTTGCAGAGAAGATTGAGTTTAGCTGAACAGTTGGGGTGCCTGCACCGGCCCCCCGCCTACCGGTGGGCTGACACCTGTACTCAATAAATGTAAATGAGACGGAATGTGTTAAAACAGGGACACTATAAACTGGTTAATGATGGCTTGTCGGGCTTCCAACTGAAAACTAATTTCCACACGTCACAACATTTTATAACTCAAACAACTTCATTTTTACTGCACTGAAACTTTGGTGAGAAGATTGAGTTTCAAAACTCAATTCAAGATTGAGTTTTTGGGGCCGTTTAAAGGGCCCTAAAAAATCCCTGAAAAAACCCTGGTTTCTCCTGAAGTCATATTTTGTTTAACATTTTGTCCATTTCACAATCAATATTATCTATACCATTGTTCATTCACCAAATCCATTGATTTCCTCATGCACATTTAATTAATACTGTTCCAAACACAGCATGCAATTGCCATCAAAGATCCATCATCTTAGAATCTGTAAAAGGAAAATTTTACTTGTTGAGAATGTAATCATTACTTTATACAAAATATGCCAGAACAATGACCTTGAGACTTATCATTAACCTACAGTGTAAAAGGGACTACTAACTGTGGATGTAATAAACAGCCTTTATTTAACCAATAACAAAGCCAGTTCATATTTCATCTGTATGTACAAGGTGATGCAGGGTATGACAAATATACATATGTTAACCAGAGACAGGCTTTCTCCAGACCTGTACCCAGTAGACCAGGGTTTTTTTCAGGGATTTTTTAGAGCTGTTAAACAGGCCCAAAAATTCAATCTTGAATTGAGTTTTGAAACTCAATCTTCTCACCAAAGTTTCAGTAAAGTAAAAATGAAGTTGTTTGAGTTATAAAATTTTGTGACGTGTGGAAATTAGTTTTCAGTCGGAAGCCCGACAATTAAGAAAAAATGGCTGGAATTCATCTTGCAACACAGGAAAAACTATGCATTGGCCATCTTTAACCAGTTTATAGTGTCCCTTAGTGCCCCTGCTTTAACACATTCCATCTCAACTACATTTATTGAGCATAGGTGTCAGCCTCCCGCGGTAGGGGGGAGGGGGTGCAGCCACCCCAGCTGTTCAGCTAAACTCAATCTTCTCTGCAAAAATGGACCCAAGAGAAAGTCCTGAAAAAAAACCCTGTAGACTACTATCTGGTGCCATAATAGGTATCTGGGCACCACCCGCTACCATCTGGTATTAGGCAAACCACCATCTGGCGCAACTTCTTCTGGCAAAGACCTTGGACCCATGTTATTTTAAAAAGTAATAACCAATAATCACTATTAATCAGCAAGCTTAGTTTCACCAGACACTAAATTTTGTTGCATCATACTTTATTATTTTACTCTGACTAACACCAGATAACTTTACTTGTCAAGGGCAAAGCAGTCAAGCTCAATGGATTAATCAGACTATCTGCCCATGTGTCAAATTAACCATTTAGTTGCATTGTGCACTACTGTCCAAGTAGATTATGTCAATTAATTTATGATCTGTCATGCAACAGTTCCAGTTTAAAGGGGAATATATCTTGTGGACTAAATATGATACTCAACTGACTGTCTTCTCTTAAATAACTTTAATTTATTATACAGTTAGCATCACTGTAGTGCAGTAACATTACATTAACCCTTTAAGTGCCAATGCACCAAGATGCGCCCTACTTTATTATTTTACTCTGTCTAATGCCAGACCATTTAACTCGTCCGGGACTCAGGGGAAGAGTGCTGCCAATAATTGGGTTAATACATCAGGACCCTGGACATGTACAATTGTTTGGTATTGACATAGCAAGATTAATCTAGTAGGGCGTAAAAAAATACCTGTGGTTCCGGTTTCATATTGCAAAAAAATTTGGGTTGGTAGGTCGGAAATAATTTTTTTTTTGAATATTTTTTCATGGATTTTTCAATAATTAGTGTGACAACAGATGTCATTTGGCAGCAGCCCGCAACCATCCGGAGAAAATAGGGTCGCACAGTCAATCACTTTTAAAAAAATAGGGTCGATCGGGAACCGGAATCACACAGGTACTTTATACGCCTAGTATGGCACAGATAAAATTGGTACCTGTATCAAATTTATCCATGCTCGGCCTGTGTGAATAGGAGTAGTCGAAGCATGGTATACATGTTACAGATACAAAAATTGAGTACAGTGCCAACAGGCCTTACAATGGGCTGCATTGGGGGTAGATGTAATTGTGTTGTTAATATTTACTAAATTTTTTATGCAGTATCAAGAAATGTAATAATTCCTACAAACAAGGTCCTTACATGGGCTGTTTACAAGATCAAGGCTGATTCGTCTGGCTGGACAGACTTGCAAGTGCCGAGATGGTCTTGTACAACCACCTGGAGAAAATAGGGTCACACGGTCAATCGCGTTGAAAAAATAATAGGGTCGGCACAAAAAATAGGATCGGTCGGGAACCGGAACCACAGGTATTTTTTTACGCCTTAAAACAAATATCGCTTTCCTACCATATATAAAATTGTTTGGGAATTTCTTATAGCAGTTGCCAGGCTAGCCCGCCTCATGTGAAACAAATAACAACTAGGCCCGGCCAAGTAAGCTAACTCGGTTTAATGGGCCAGCATGGCTCATATTGAACAGGTCCTGGGCGACTACCTTAGCTGGGCCAGTTTGTCATTTTCTTCATATAAAGCACTAAAAGCAGACTATTTATTCTTGTTAATTCTTACCTTACAACACCAGTTTGTCAACTCAATCCAGAATTCCTTGATTGTTGAGAACAATATTTGGAGCCAGGCAATAGCCCAGCACCATTATTAATCTGAAAATACATAAAGCAAACATTTCAGGCATTGTGTCACAAACATTTTACACATTATAAACTGAAGTTCATTAAGGGCTGGCAAGACTCTCCGGCCCCTTGAAGAGTGAAATTGTCTGGCACTAGGTAAAGTAAAGCAACAGCAGGGATGCATTTGGGCACATTTGTAAGCCTTAATGGGTTATTAAGATCAAAACACTGAAAATATTACATTCAAATTACATTCAATGCTTTATAAATTCTTCTGTAATTCTAATCCTTATTCATGTATTAAAATGCTAACATATCTTTGAAGGCATTCGAATGTTTACAGTAAAATAACAAGGCCAAGGGTCAAGTTGAGTGCATATAATTCATATGTTAAACAGCCAAAGGCAATATTTATTGCTATTAAATTGTTAACAATAGTGCATTAGTGCGTAATTTAGTACAGAATTTGCTATAATGGATTCGAATTGATATTTTATTCTTTCTTTCATTGCCAGAAACCAGAGGAGGAGTGAGGACTATACCGGCATGCAACGCGGTCAGGCGCGGTTTTTTACATATTATCGATTTCTCGCTCTGCGCCGTCATTGTTCGGTCGGCTTTCGGTGTGTTTACACCTCGAGGTTTCTAGAGATTCAGAAAAGATTTATCGAAAAAATATTGTAAAATGGTGGATTTTTGCACTATGCATGGAAACAAAGCTTCGTTTTTGGGTGGACACGAGCTTCTGTATGTTACTGTGTGTCAAAACAGCCTTTAATTTTGATTCCGGAAGAATTACCGAACTTGAATGTCGTGTGGTTGATGTTTAGGCCACTACAAGTTAATCTTTAGTTTCTGGTCCGGCCTTACCTTCGTTTACGACGCGGGCGGGCGGGTGGTTAGGACTATAGGACATAATTACAATTGTGGCTTTGCCTACATTTTTGTGGTCTTTCTTGTCCCTATTCATGCTAATTGTGTCAAAATGTTATGAAATTTTACATAAATTGCATTTATATTATCTATAAATCGATATGTATGACAGATTACAAAGGATTTTACATATCAAAATGATCTATTAATATGATCTAATATTTCTAGGTTTTTTTTACCTCGTAATCTCGATAAGGCAGCGGTTTTTACCATTCAATACTACATTTCGCTAGGTCTTTTTAGTATAAATTGAATATTTATCGTTCTATACATAAGTTAAATCCTTCGCGAAAATTTTCAAGAACTAGAAATTAATTGTAAATAACAAAATAGTCCTGAAATAATACTTTACGAAGAAAGGACGCGGGCGGCGGACCAGAAACTAAAGATTAACTTGTACTGGCCTTATAGTTTTACGGATAGTTCGAAGAATAGTGGTTAACGGGAATAGCTGTGGTTAACGGGATAAAAATTGATGAAATTGTTCGCTGATTGCGGTAGTCCTGCACTGGTACAAATTCACTGTAGTTGTGTTTTTAAGGTGAGATGATTTTTATATAAAAATTAAAATAGAAATATAAAAATCTCCAATGTTGTATAAATACAGCAGTAATAATTAAACGTATTTTTATTTTATATCATGTAGTTTGTAGTTCTTCGACCCTAATGATCTACGGAAAGGAGGTATAAACAAAGAATATAACAATGTTATGTTGTTGGGAGTTTGACATTTCAACATCACCAACATCCCAAGCAATCCCACCATGTGACCCAGATAGTCAAGATGATGAGCTGGATAGTGTACTTCCACCAACAGAATTACATCAGCCAACTGATTGTATAACTATTTATATTGCCAATAAACCCTGTTTGCCCTGACAGACATTCATACACACCGAATGATGGAAGAAGCGCCCAGCGGTAGCATTGTTGTAAAGAATGAAATGGAGGAAATTCAACACTATCGCAACACTATATATAAATGTATTGACTACTGTGTGATGCATTGCAAGGATTTATACTGATCAACCAGTTATCTATGCTCAAATGATCAACCAGTTGTCTTTTATTTTGCTCTCAGCCTAACGCCAGATTATTTTACTGTCTAACGCTAGACTATTTACTCATCAGGGTGAGAGTGCTGCCACTCAATGGGTTAATTAAAAAACATTCAAACACAATGATTGGCAGAAGCTGCAAAATTGTTTATTGGTGTCTGGTGTGATACTGACATTTCTTTTATTTGTAAGGATAGAGCTGGGGAGCTTCTAGTGGTACAGTCTTGGCCCTACCCCGGTTTTCCTGTACAGCCGTGTTTTCCTCACTTCCCTGATTCTACCATAAGTATTGTATCCCATGGACACCAGTCACACCACCTTATCAGTTCTGCAGTTTTTTGACACTCTACCGTAAACCTCCAACTATAAGCCCTGGGCTTATATTCTTTCGTAAGCAATTTTTGATGGGCTTACACAAGGGGGGAGGCTTATATACAGGGGGGGTATATTTGGAGGTTTATGGTATGTCAACCTCGTACCCAGGGTCTTTCCTCTTGGGGAGCAAAGACCCTGGTAGACGCTGGTCACGTGATCTGCTAAAATCTAGCAGATTTCTAATTAGCCATCTTGGTTTTGTTTACGACAATCATACAAAATGCAAATTATAAATTAAACTATCAAAATAATCCAAATATCATAATATCAAATGTTTATTGACCTCATCTTCGATTGCTAATTAAAAATCTGCTAGATTTTAGCAGATCACATTGACCAGCATCTACCAGGGTCTTTGCTCCCCAAGAGGAAAGTCCCTGGGTATGAGGTTGATGGTATGTATGGTTTTCATGATTTTCAGTGTATATAGCTCATCACAAATTAATAAAAAGATCACACACTACATAATTGATGTTGATAAAATTTATTTATTTTAAAATCGAAAAAATATTAACATAATATTGCTGTACTTAAAGATAATTAAAATGTTTTTAAAAATAAAATTTTATGCACACAATTTTAAAATATTGCACACATTCATTTCACCAGTACACATGGATGCTATATGATAAAGTATATGAAAGGTGATGCTTTTGCTCTAGCTTAATGATGTATTAAAACAACTAGAGGTATTACATAATTGGTAAACCTCTTCAATCGTAATCATTTGCATGATTTCAATGAATGCTTTATCTTCCTCAAATGTCCATTTATGAAGTTTTACTGGGGATTTCTTTGGAGGAGTCGGTTTAATCTTTCTGATAGGAAACTACAAAACAAACAGCAAAAGTGAGAGGGGCAATCTCAGTGCCAGCACAATTAGACAGCAACAAAGAAACTCGTGGATTTTTACCAGGATTGTGGGCATGCTTCTCCAGGAAATTTGTGTACTATAGGTTTTCTGGAATGCCACTCCCAGCATTGAAAAATAATATCGGCGTACAGGTGGACAGAAATTGCCCAACATTGTCATGACTTTATTTAAAGATGAACAAGAGGTATCAAATAGAAGGAGTACATCTCCTGTCTATATACTGTTTAAAGTCAATCTTAAAACAATTGCCTAATATTTTTTTAAAGCAGAATTCTGCCCAACTAAACACTGACTGGAGGGGTTGCAACCCCCAGCCTCGTATGCCTATGGACAGAATTTCTCCCAGGCAAAAAAGCATTAAAATACAATGTTACTATATTGTCCCATTAAAAATATACAATGTTTTAGTGTGGTCAAACTGGTCATACTGTATTTTATGTTTGTAAAAACTTTGATGTTGAATTTTTCAAACGAGAAATTCTGCGTCTTTTATTATTTAATAGGTTTCCCTGGGGTATCACCTTCAGAAGTATATGCCCGTTTAAAATATATAGCAGTATCATTTCCAGTTTTACTCCAAAATAGCCGAATTATATAATAAAATGAAAAAATACAGTCAGGGCAGGTAAACATAAGCATATCTAACCTTAAAAATTGCATTAAACTTAAAATATGTACGAACAAAAATGTGTATGTTTCAAAATTATCATGAAAAATAGTGATTAGTATCATTAGTACAATAATTTCCTTCGCGCCATGATGATTAATATCAGGCGGTCTATTCCCGCCATCGGCGATAGAATATAGCGAAAGTACCCCATTTTCAAACCGCGATTACTTGTCGGTTTAGTGGAGCAAACTCATGTTTTAAAGTAACAGTAGAAAGAAAAAATCTTCCCGAATTCGATGACGTGTTTTGTTTTTATTTTCCTAAAAAAAAAGTGAGTTTGCTTCTGCATTATATCAAGGTCATTTTATTGGCGTGTCCACTGACCCGAATCAAGCATAATTACAATACGTAATTAACATAACTAAAAAGCAATTCCTGTACCAAACAAGTCAAAAATAGTTTAATTAGCGTCTTAAATAATACAAATATAAAAACATACCTTCGAAAAAACGAGATAAACGTTGCCAAAATCGCAATGTATTTCAACAACTTTTCGCCAAACATTCGTTGAAAATCGTAATTGTGAATAATAATTAGACGCAATGCATTGGGCGCCAAATGCATAATGGCGGACGGCAGCAAAATTTTAAACTCGCCTACAGTAAGGAATTTTAGTCTTGATCGTGTTGATATACCCTCAATAAAATTGCTAAACATTAATACACACTTAGTCTATGATGGTACACGTATAAAGTGGTCAAATAATCTGAAATCTCTGAAGAATTTTACCGAAAATGTTGTCGGTTTGGTTGGTTGCTGGAGGTCGCCCGGTGGCAAATCTAAACAGTTTGTAAGCAATGACCTAGATCTGACAATGACTTGGCACCCAGGTAAGCAAAATTCTTTGCTGTTCAGCGGGAAAGACGGTGAATCCTTAAAGAAACTATTGATAAGTATTCTGAACACGCCAAGCGATACTACACATAAAATACCGGACGAGCCAAAATCATCGACAGGAGAATCGCGTGACATTGGCAAAATTACTAATTCTAGTGAATGCCCAAGCCAGTCTATAGCTGAAATAAAAGCGATTAAGGATAAAATTGACGGTGTATTTGTGATTGTAAACAAGCTTTGTTATTCTACAACTAGATTACTAAATGAATTTTCTGCAATTCTCGCCAGAAAGGATCTTCACGATTCCACTACCCAAACTGATTTCGAAGTACATAACAATGTCGGATTAAATATAGCTGATGCCACAAACGCGATAGATAACCAGTGTACATACACGCTTAGTGGTTTATCGACCGAAATTGAAGGTCTCAAACTAAACATTATAATCACAGAATCAAATATTTTAAGCAAAGTTCAGTCTAACAATCAAGCGATTGAGCAAATTCGTCACGACCTAGACTCAATCAAAAGCCATCAGAGTAAAAGTAACTTCATTTCAGACAATAATACTGTCCCAATTACAAATTCTGAATCAATTAATGTTGGACCTACAGCTAACTCAACCAAGATTGATAGTACTGCTACGATTCCCATATGTAAACATGGTTCAAATCAGTCTTGTGCTCAATTACGGTCAACCGTAATCTGCCAACAAAATACCAACCCTCCCGGAGTAGCCCAGTTTTGTTCTGTTAGCAGTAACAAGCCAAATAACAAGTTAACGCACCAGGCCTACCCTAATTCTAACAAACACGTTACTCAGCAAATCGAAGGTGCACCAGGAATAAATAAAGGTCAACAGAATCATTATAAAGTATGCAAATCCACCTCCGACCATAAATTAGAAACTCCCAAGGCCAATCCTGAAGTAATTAAAATTGGATCGACTGCTAACACAACAAAAGCCCTTAGCGTAGGCGCTGGTTCTGCTAAACATGAATCAAAGCAGTATTACGCTCATCATTACAACTTAGTCAGTCCTGTAAAACAAAGTAATTCCCATCAACATTCCCAAGCTGTTTTTCGCCCACAATCAAACGTCAGTTGTGTGAAGCCAAAACCAAGAAATAAACAGAATGTACAACATATTTCAAACCTTAGTTGTGCTAATACTGGCGAAAGTCAGCCGGCACCAAGTGGGACTGGATCTTTGAAATGGTTGGCCCGCCTACCTCTGGTTGAAACGCTTAACGCGACAGTTAGTAACCCCATGCATACATCTCGAAGTGGGGCCGAACCCCTTGATTGGATAGGACGGTTGCCCCTACTTGTTAATTACTCGACACATGCGCCTCGCTCACGCCAGACTCAAAGGAATGAAACAGGAAAGATGAACCGGCATACGTTTTTTCGGTCGCGATTCAGCCAGCAGGCAGACTGGTTGAATTACCTGGAGTTTGTCCGTCGCACATTGCAATAAACTTGGAGATCCCTCTCGCAGCTAGTAACAACACTATAATCACACCAGAACGAAACACTATACTTACCACGAATTCGAAGGTCAGCAGTCTAGCGCTTCGTGTTATAATGAACATATTCCTAATACTAGCAAACGAAGCCGTAGCGGAACGCGTAATCTAATTGAAATTCCAATCAAGAATCCATCCCTATATCAAAGCACGTCTCTATATCAAAGCC